ATTCAGGATCATGGTGTCGAGATTCAGGTACAGCATCAAGGTTTGCATGGCATTTTCTGACTTTAGGGAGAAGATACGCGTGAACATTCGATTCGTTCCGTAATGGATATTCTGCAAAATGTGTGTTTTACGACGTCCATGATGAGATCCATACCCTATGCAGCAATTTCCCTGTTCCGTAGAGCATGGATCAGTTTATGGGGTGTGGCTAAGCAAAGGCACAGTTTTGTGGGCACGACCACGAAGCTTGCGAAACGCACAAGAACCAGCTAATTTCTATACTACAAAAAGGGTGAGCTCCTTGTCATTGCTGTGGCCATGTGGTCTTCTGTTTCTTGCTTCTGCTGGAAAAATTGCAACTCCCTCACCAACGCAGCACCGAAAGGTAGGTTTGTATAGTAGCCCGTTCAAGGATGGTTTTCTTTCAGGCTTTGGAATTATGAGCCTTACCCGGACCCTGAAATATGTTGTATGTTGCATGTGTGCCACAATCTTAACTGCTTTCCAGATCTAGGTAAATGCTAAGCCCTAGCCAAGGGGTCTTCGCCATGTCTGTTGCCAAGCAAGCCCTCACATGTCCAAACTGCCCGTATAGGATCCTCAAGAGGGTGCCTCTCATCAGCCCTAAGCCCCTCAACCTTCAACCCTAAACCCTAAACCTTAAAGCCTCTGTGCCATTAGGTGGACCCCCCGCCCTGTAATAGTGACTGTAAAGGATTATTGTAACCATACCTTGTGTATCCCTGTCATAGCACTATTACAGAGTGGGGGGTCTGCCTAAGGGATCCTCTACTTGCCTCCGGTTACAAAAAAACTCCTGATGAAACTCAGTGTCCCGTGCCCTGCATCCTACATCCCAGCTGCCTAGCTTTTTTCCTTCAGAGCTGCGGTGGACAGAAAATCTGTAGGAGCTCGTTTCTTTGAGGCATTTAACCCGAAGTCTCAAAAGTTCCAAAACCGCGAACTTCATTCGTGCCTAAAGCGATGGAGTAGATTATGGGCTTTGATAGAGTACCTATCTTGTCCACCCAGGCGGGGATCTGTGCATAGGCAGAATCTCTGATATCAAGGATGGCGCTCATGCCAAGCACAACGAAGCCACTGGCGACAACGTAGCTTGGGAGCAGCTCGAGTTGAGGGTTCTTGGCGTTGAGGTACGCTATTGCGGCTTTCAGGACGCCTAGAGCCCTTGAACCCTTTCGTGCTACCTAGGGCTGGGGTCCAGAGAAGCTTGTTTCGGCTGGGCACTGGGCGGTTCTGAAATGAGATTGCGGGGTGGAGTTTTGACAGTATTTTGTTTGCTCATCGTGCAAGAATTTTCCCCGCTTGCCCCCCAATAATGGCCCAATAAACCCACTCCCTAAACCCCTCAACACTAACCCCCCTGAACCCCTAAACCCTAAACAGTGGGGTTCCCCATATTTCTAGAATTCTAGGAGCCCAAACCGGCATTGAAAGGGTTATGTTGTTGCAGCTAGTCTGATTGGCCCAAGCAGCTTACGCAACGGCCAAGAAGCATAGAAGAAGTAATAGTAGCACTAGTAAGAGTAGTAGTAAGAATAGTAGTAGCCGTAGTAATAGCAGCAATAGTATTATTAGAAGTAATACTAGTAGTGCCAGCATTTTGAAACAAGTCGTACGCACGCAGTCAAAGGCTTTCCGCCGCAGAGAAGAAGTTGAATGCATCTCACGACGCGATGAAAGACTATATGTGTACACATACAGGTAATTACCCTTCCACGTCCCATATCATCCCATTTCCTTTTCATGTCCGATTTTCTGTTCCATTTGATCTCCAGTATTGGGCGAATATCCAAAAGTCTTATGACGAAAGGTCATCCACGAATTTTGAATACAAAGCAGTTTCTTTCTAATCCTGTCCCCTTAATACAACCCCCACCCTCTAATCGTAGATGCCAACCATATGGTACACTAGATATCTGGCGGAAAATTTTTTATTAGGGATGTAGAGGGGGGGTTCTTATTGAAGGAGAAGATTACAGTCTGCAGAGCCACAGCGGCTCTAATCCAAAGATTGATCTGCCAAGCTACAATTCACAGATACTTACGGGCCGTTTAGTCTTCAGTCTTGTGCACGCCGTTCCTTGCTACTAGAAGGTCCACAGGTATGTGTCCAGAGAGGGCTGGAGAAGCCCCAGATAGGTTCATGACTAACTATACTTGCAGCTATCCCAAGCACATCGAAAGTTAGGATTCTTCCTGAGACTGTAATTACGGCATCCTATACTGCACCTTTTGCTATCTACAAACGAGGCCTAAGTAGACTGCATTTGGCTTTATTTGAGCTGTGTTTTGGGGAAAGTGGAATACGGGCAGGTTTGGTATAGACCCCCCATAATCCGAGTATGAGACCCCTCACCCCAGCCTCAGAGGTAGTAGGAAAGCCGTGTCAGCCGCAATCTCACCGAACTAGGTGGCATTTCGGAATCAGCATTGTTGTGTGCTTGTTGTAGTGGAATTTCCACAATCCCCCCTAATCGTGGCGAGGATCACTGTCTAAGGTTGGGCCTTTGATCGTGGGCGTGAAGAAGAGCGGATGAGGTCAGCTACCTAGAAGAGCAGTGGGGCGGGGTTCGCAAGGGTTCCAGGGCTTATGTACGGATATACTGTTGAGGGCTGTGTCCTTCGTCCTGTGGAAGTTTCAACTAATTCCATATGATTCCTTCTGTAACTCCTTGCAGAAAGATACTTTGTACCCCAACCACACTAGAGGAGAACACCATGGGGGAGGAGGGCGAAGGGATGGGCTCGGTGGGTGCTCTGCAAATTGGTTTACAGGGTTTAGGGTTTAGGTGTTTAGGGTTTAGGGTTTATAGGTACATACAGGGTTTAGGGCTTGGGGTTTCCAGGGATGAGGGGCCCCTTTGTGTGGCTCCTTATGCTAAGGCTCTATGACTCTCAGGATTACAGCTTTGAGGTACACAGTTACAGGGGCCCTCATGCCCCCAAATTCCCATATAGTTGCAGTCGCGATGCTTTGGACCATGTTGCTTCAGACATTAACACGTTGGTCCTGCTCCTTCTAGACAAAGTTTTAATCTTAAAGCAGACGGAAATGTGTCAAACACAGAAGCCGACGGAAAGCAAATCCAACATGCGTCTAGGGAAGCATGACCGAAAGAACCATAACATAACAGAACACTGACTGCGCATACAGACCCCAGAGCTTCAGGCCAGGGTGTGGAATAGATCTGGGACAATAGCTCTTTATTCATATGACCCCAATACAAGTCCTGGCTAGTATGGCCTTCGTTTTAATCCTGATGTAGCTGAGGAACTTTCAGCCTTTGTGCAGTGCTTGCTGAGCATGTGCTTGTGGATCAATGGTAGGGATGCGCTAGACATTGCTGCACGCTTGCCGCAAGGTTCTGGTGAGAGCTTAGGATTTAGGTTCAAGGATTTAGGGTTTACCCTGAAGGCTTTAGTGCGCAGGCCAGGAAGGTGTCCTCTCCAGCAATTACACTCAACCATCGCGGATGTTTCCTAAGGCTCCCGCCATTTCATATAATTGAAAGAAAGATAGAACCTTGGAAAAGTAGCTATGTAGTAGGAAGCCGAAACCCTGACATGGCGGCTCAGTCGCTGAAATATCTTTTTTAGATTGCTCATTCTTTTGCCCATAGTAATATTGCTGATGATCTTGTTGCTGTTGGCGCCTTGGGAGTTGCTCCTGGAATGTAGCAGCCGCCACCATCCCCATATGAGCTACTCTCAATTATAACCTGATTAAGGACTAAGAGTGGACATAGGGTCCTCTTGTAGTTTATCAGGGTCCCTCTTGTAGTTTAGTATCGTCCTTCATTTAGTCCCTCATACGGAATCCATGTACACTAAATCATGTAGGGAATATCCCGCAACTTGGTTTACATGTTTTCAGGCCCCAGGGCTTTGTTTTAGGACCCCAAGATGCCCTTGAGTTGAAAGGAAGGTTTAGGGTTAGTTGCAGGAAGCCGTGAATCAGGTCTATGACTCGTACCCGGATCGCTTCTTAGGGGGTCCATATAGTAAGGATTATAGTAGATGAAGCTCTATACTGGGGTCCTGTATTTATGGACACTACGATTGATACTAGTAAGAAGACAAATCTCTACTGTGCCAAAAACCTTACCCTCAGAGGTTCTTGGGTTGTACCCCTAAAGTCATACCGTTTAGGCGCTAAGACCAGTTTTGGCGCCCGCGGCTAGGGTTCAAGGATCTGCAAATTAAATGTAGAGGTACCACCAAGAGGTACAACCCTGAAACCCTTAAAAACCCGAAGCCATATGTGGAAGAATTGCTCAGCAAGTTAGGCCGGCGATCAGAAGGTCCCGAAGCATCTCCGAAATCAGCGTGTACTTGAGGGTTTAGGGTTGAAAGAAACAGCGCCATGTTCCTTAACTGTGCTCTGCTACTATTTTCTACGCTTCCAGATGGGGGGGGGGTCCGAAATTGGGGGTTCCTTTTTTGGGATACTTAGAACAGGGACTACGTTGTATTGGGACATATGAGGGGGTCGCCCCATTTATTGCAATTCCCATATATGAGCATCTCATAATACTTAAGACAAAACCTGCTGGTTGTCCTCACCACAGAGCCAAAGCACCAAACCTGACCCCTGACAGAATTCCCTTCTCCTTTGTGACTCAGGCTGTCTGAGCCAGTGTGGGTATGTGCCAGAAATTTGTGTCCCCAGACGTGCTCCCTAGAAATACTAGGATTGTTACATGTTACATATTCGTGTGGAAGGCAAGCGGAACCATGATTTTCAGGCAAATACCCAAATCCTTTCTGCCCCGTTCCGCAGCGGGAGGCAAGACTCATAAGGCACACATCGATGGCACTGGAAAAAACAAAGCGGCTGCAGTGGCAGATAGGGGTGGTGGTACCTTGCAAGTACCATGGCTTGTAGCGGATTGCAGAAGAGCTTGCATCATGCTTGTGGCTCGAGACAGCTTCTTTTAATTTCAGCATTTTCCAGACATTCCAGCTCAAGCCAAGTGATGTCGAAGCACGCCACTTTGGTCTTCTCGCGCCACGGTGAGTCGGAGTGGAACGTGGCAAACATCTTCACGGGCTGGGTGGATGTGGACCTGTCCGAGAAGGGCCTGGGCGAAGCCAAGGGTGCGGGCGAGCTTCTGAAGGGCGAAGGCTTGCAGATCGACGTGGCTTTCACTTCCTACCTGAAGCGCGCAATCAAGACCTGCAACTTGGCACTGGAAGGAGCTGATCAGCTGTACGTTCCCATCAACAAGTCCTGGCGCCTGAACGAGCGCATGTATGGCGGCTTGACAGGCCTGGACAAGAAGGAGACCGTGGTGAAGCATGGTGCAGAGCAGGTGCAGATCTGGCGACGCAGCTTCGACATCCCGCCGCCTGCCTTGGAGAAGGAGAGCAAGTACCATCCGTGCCATGAGGCCAAGTACGCTGCCCTTGATCCCAAGGACCTGCCGGATACCGAGTGCTTGAAGGACACCATTGCGCGCGTGATGCCCTACTGGGAGTCCGCCATTGCACCAGAGCTCAAGGCTGGCAAGACCGTTTTCGTGGCCGCCCA